CCCAGCCAGCCCCTTCCAGCGCCGGAGCCTCGCTGGCCGCTGGGGCTTCTCCGGACCCGGCTGAGTCCGACCTGGCGCCCATCCTCTGGGTGGGGGCTGGGCCCAGCCCTGTCTGGCCAGTCCTGGCACACTGCACACGAGGGGCACCCTGGCCTGGCTCTGGATGCCGGGCCCGCCCCCTGGGGCCCCCTCAGGCCTGTCGCTCTCCCAGGCCCCCGGAGTGTGCCCTGCCGCCCCAACCTTCCAAGCCAGGGTCTGGTGGGGGATACTGTGAAGCTGGCATAGCCCTGTGAGCTGCTGCCGTGTTAGGCTGCCTGCTTCCTGGGCCGCCGCTCGCCCTGGCCCCGGCTCCCTGCCTGTCTGGCCTTGCTGCCGCCACCCAGCAGCCCTCCCCGCCACCCAGCAGCCCTCCCCCATCAGGTGCCCCACTCCCCGCCAGTCCATGTCCTGGCCTGATGTTCTGGCCAGATCCTGAGCTTCCTGGCCAGATCCTGTCTGCTCAAAAGCCATCGACCTCTCCTCCTGTCCACACCCGCTGCCCCCAGCCTGGCAGCGGTCCCGAGCACCCCCTCGCTCCTGTTCATTGCATCAGATGCCAGCAGATCCTTCTCCAGACAGTGTCCTCTGGCCTCTCCACTGGACACCACAGGCCCAGGATTAGGTGTCAGGGGGAAGCATCTGCATCCGCACCAGAGTGAGCCCTCATGCCGGGCCTGAAGGACGCAGGCATGATGATGTACAGGGGGGACGGCCCCCTGGAGGCTCCCCAGGCTGTGGCTGAGCCCCCTCCACCCAGAAGACCCACCTTGAAACGTTCTCCTGCCCTTCAGGATCCCGCCCCCCCGCCGCCGCCCCAGCTGCTGCCTCAGGCCTTGACTCTTGGAGGGCTGAGGGCAGTCCCTCCAGACTGGGGACACCTTGGGGCAGGCCTGGGGTCCTGACTGCCCGCTGTGGAAAGTGTCTGAAGTAAACACACGGGGATGAAGGGCTCCAGCGTCTGTCTGGGGCCTGGGGCCGGGCTAAGGACGTGGCTCTGATGCACTAGGCACTAGAGGCTGTAGGTAAGGCAGCCTGTGGGCGGGAGTGAGGGTCACGGGCGCGGAGTTAGAGGTCAGGCGGGTTCAGGGCGCGGGCGTGTGGCTGGGTCAGGCACGCCAGGCCGACAGGGTGGGGGCTGACAGGGGAGGCGTCGGGCCTCGGAGGTCACCCCAGGGCAGTGCGGGGTCCCAGTCTGGTGTGCTAGTCTGGATCCTACGAAGCCAATGCCAGATGAGATTGAACTACATGAAAGGTATCGGGGTGCATGCTGGACAGGCCAGGAGGCCCTAGGACCCCCCTGAAGGAGAAGGGGAGGGGAGGAAAGGAGGCAACGGCCGCGTCCTGGACGTCTGTGCTGGTCTTTGGGGTCCTCAAACCACTCGCCTGTCATGGGGCCCCCGGGCAGGGCTCCGTTTCCATCCTACAGTTGGGGTCTGTGAGGGGCCCCTTTGCAGCCCCCTGACTCAGGCTGGGCCTGGCTGGGCTCAACAGGAGCTGCAGGAACCCCCTCCGTGGCAGCCCCTGTCCTTGAAGTCTAGGGGTCAGACCCAGGGTGAGCATTCATGCCCACTTCTCCGACCAAACACACGCCTCTCCCCACCTCGGGGAACAGCTGGACAGGCCAGCGGCAAACCCCACAGTGACACACGTGGGAAAGGAGAGCCCGCCTCAGATGGGGGCTCAGACAGGTAGCACCCCCTTCTCTCGCCCCACTTCTGTAGGGCCTGGGCCACACACCCCACCCAGTAGCAGGCCGTCTCGCACCACGCGGCTGGCCGCTCCTGGTCATGTGTCCCCCTCCTTGCCATGTTCCCTGCCAAGTAGCTGGCAGCCTGCTGGACGCCCTGCCTGCCAGGTTGCAGCTCATGCAGAGCCTGAGTGGCTTGAGGGCCAGACCCACTGGGCACTGGAAATGTGACCCTTCTCAAGGACTTCTCTGCTGGGGGCCCCAGGAGGCCTCAGGTGGAGCAGTGGCCTGGTTCATCAGAGGCCATCCCTGCCCCCATGGCAGTGCCATGGCCCTGGCCCCCCGCACGCATCGGTGCTGACCAGGTCCACCATCTGCCGAGGCCAGGAGCTCAGCACACCTCCTTCCCTGGTATGGCCCTCCTGCTTTGATCTGATGCCCAAATACTCCACATAGGGTATGTCACTGGGGACCTTAGGACCTTGGGGGGCCTAGGACCTGAGGGCCAACTGTCGGCCCCTGAAAATGGGGGTTGGGCGGGGCTGACCAGGACTGAGGCTGAGGGCGCTCTCGGCCCCAGAGGCAGTGTGTCTGTACTCACTGGTCTGTTGAGACCTGGGCTGCTCTGGTCCTACTCACCTGGCTTCTGCCTGTCCAGTCACCCTCACGAGGCTTCCCAGACAGGACCACGGGCCCCGGAGGGACAAATAGGCCTGAGAATCCTCAAGCTCCCACTGTGTGGGAGTCGATTTCGAGGGAGTTTCTGTAACTGCGTCTGGGGCGTTTAGGGGGCACTGTCTTCTGTTCTAATGTTAATTTCACTGTTGGGCTGGGATCCTGGATTTCTGTGGGGGGTTGGTGTCCCAGCCACAGCTGAACCCACTGTCCCTTCTCTTCAGCGAGTTGTAAAGCTGCGTGCTCGTACAGTGCCGTGATGAGGGGTGAGCGGCACCCTCCCACTGCGGAAAGGCAGACCTTTCCCGGTTGGCCGCTCCAGCTCCCGGAGATGAGGAAACCCTGCCGGCCCTTCGGCACCCCGACCAGCCGCCTGCCCCTCGCGGCGGGGCCCTGGACGCTGCCTGCTGCCACTCAGCGGGGAGGCCTCTCCGGAGCCACTTCTCTGAGCAGGTGCCTTTGGATGCGACGTGGACGGAAGACCAGCCACTCATGGGCCACTGCTTTTCCAGGGCTCAAGCCTCAAGCCGCCCCTGGGTACAGGGTCCGTGTGCCGGTCAGCCACACAGGCCCTGGACTCCCTCTGCAGCCCTCGTGGCTCCTCGAGGCAGACAGACCACCCTGCAGCTCTGCGCAGTCCCAAAGGCCAGCACTCTGGGCAGGGGCCAGGGCTCCAGCCACATGGCAGGTTACTCCAGAGCGACCAGGTCCAAGCACAGGGCAGGTTCTCCTGAGCACTCTTAAGAAACGCCTGCTCTCGGCCCCCAGGTCCCTCCCTGTCCTATGAGAGACAAATCCCCATCCCTCTCCTCTGTCCCAGGTCTAAGGTACCTCAAAAATTCGGTGATCCATCTTCGCATTCTGTGTCTTATTTATTGAGTTCCCTGGTTCCCGAGCCCTGTGGTGAGCTGGGCACTTGGCAGGGCTGGCTTCGCCCTTCCCCGGCGGGCAGCTCGGTGGGCACGGACACCCCCATGCGCGGGTCTGCAGGCTAGCGCAGCTGGCTCAGCTTCAGCAGTAGGGCCAGGCAGGCGTAGAGTGCACACGTGGGGCCCTGGGCTTCTGGCTCCCAGCACACCTGGGGGGCACCCACCTGCAGCTTTAGGCCACACTCCTCCAGCAGGACCCAGGCGGGCGCCTCGGAGCCCCAGTTGCTCCCCAGGAGCCTGGGTGACAGGGATATGGCCTCCCGCTCCTGCCATGGGGTGCTCTGCTCCAGAAGGGTCTCCACCTGCCAGGACAGGGCAGGAGGGCGTCAGTGGGACCCCAAGCATCCAGTGCCCGCCCACACTGGCCCCTCCCAGATGCAGCTGGGCAACCCCACAGACCAAGTCCCTCCTCCCAGCACATAGGCCCTCTCACCAGCTCGACCGACTCCGGCAGGGCCCCGGTTTCCAGCACTTCGGCCAGCAGCATGTGCTGGGTCTCACTCAGGGCTGCGGACAGACCATGCGGCAGTGGCTCCGAAAGGCCAGCTGGGGGAGCCCCATCCCATTCCCCCCCACCTCCCCTAAGACCCCTCACCAGCCAACGCTTCCAGCAAGTAGAAGACAGGCCTGGCCAACTCCTCTACCAGCGTCCTGCAGTGGAGCACCAGGCACTCGAGGACGGCGCCCGCCGGACCGTGCAGAGGCTCCGCCCGCCCGGAGCACAGGCCCTGTTCCAGCTAGGGACACAGGCAGGCAGTGAGCCTGGTTGGCGGGCACAGACCCCGTGGCCCCCCAGCCCCCACTCCCGTGGGGCCTGCTCACCGACTCCTCCAGGGCCTGCAAGGCCGGCTCATCCCGCAGCACCTGCCCCAGGCCCCCCAGCAGCTGCCCACACAGCGTCGCGGACCCGTTCTCCAGGGCGCTGGCCCAGGCCTTTACCTCCACCTGCAGGCCCTGGAAGTCTTCAGTGGGCACCAGGCAGTTCTCAGTGGGCCCGTCTGTGGGGACAGGACTGGCATTGTCTGGGTACCCACAGGGCTTTGGAGAGCCCTGGGCAGGAAGGGGGACCCACTGGGGGTCCCAGGGATGGTTATGAAGGTACTGACCTGACAGGAACTTGAGGCGGTCATAGAGGTCCTTCATCACGGAGAAGCTGGAGGACTCCCGCGTGCTGCCTGGTGGGGCAGGGCTCCTCAGTGCGGGGTGTGGGTCCCCCAGCCAAATGGCTGAGGCCTTCCCTGAGCCCTCGCCCTGCCCCCACACTGCCGGCCAGGGCGGGGCCAAGGCTGGGCCACAATGGTGTCAGCCTGTTGCCATGTCACCCTCGTGCGCACGCATTCCCAGCCCTCGGGCGTCTGGGACTGCACCGTGCTGTCCCGTGGGGCAAGTCCCCACCCTTGCTCCCGTCCCAGGTGTAAGGCTCCTCAAAAACTCAGGGACCCGCCTTCCCTTTGTGTCGCTCATTTATCAACCTCCCCTGGCGCCGGGCGGCTGTGGTGAGCTGGGCACTTGGCGGGACTGGGCTCTCACCTTCCCTGGGCGGGCAGCTGGGCGGGCAGCTGGGCGGGCATAAGCTCTGGCAGTCCAGGGCTGCACTGCGCCGTGCACAAGGCCTCAGCTGCCTGAGCGTCCCCTTGCCCGGCCGGACAGGGGTGGGGGTGTGCATCAGCTCACCTGCCTGGGGCGGCGCGAAGGTCCTCTGCTTCTTATTTGGGATGAGGAGGATGTCTAGTGGCCAGGTGGGAGCAGAGGTGGGGAGACAGGTCACTTGGCTGGAGCTCCCAGCCTTTCTCTCACCTGCTGGGGCTCCCCCGCACAGTTCCCACAGCATCCCACACGCCAGAGCCCAGGACCCTTGGCACCCCCGACACAGCTGTGCAGCCAGATGCCCTCAGCACTTCCAACCAGCCAGAGGCTCTTCCCAGGCCTCCCTATGTCTTCCCCAAGAGTCCCCCTGATCCTGCTCACCCCAGTCAGGGTCAATAACCAGCTGGGCCACCCGAAAGGCCAGGATACTGCCCGAGGGGATGGTGACCGTCTTCTTCCGGCTCAGGTGGCCCTGGCCCTTGCCCTGAGAAGGAGATCTGGGCTCAGGGCCGGGCTCCGGGTTGAGGGGCCGGGCGTGGGCTGGTGCCGGGCTCTGCCTGGGGACACTGTCCTCTTGCCCCCCGACCCGGCCCTCGGCACGGCCCTCACCACACACCTGCAAGGATATGGCTCCGGGCAGCGCGAACTGGCCTGAGCCCTCCTGCTTGTGGGTCCGGGTGACCTCCATCTCCGTCTGCGTCTGCAGCACCTCGGTCACCACGAACACGTCGTCTCCACGCCTCCGCAGCTGCTGTAGGACTTTGTGTTCGGGCTGCCGCAGGCGCCTGCAACAGGCGACGGGTGGGCCGGAGGCTCACAGAGCGGCACGCTGGCCCTCTCTGGCCTCCTCCCACCGGGACCGGCTCTCCTCCGCCGGACCTAGGCCTCTGTGCCGACAAATAGTGCACCAAGCGGGTGACGCAGCCGAGGCAGCCAGGACCTCTGTGGATGCCCAGGCATGGGGTGGCCTTCACTTTCTCCCTAGGTGCTCCCGACAGTATTTGTGTGGGGGTGCAGAGGTGGGGGAAGGAAGAAGGACGAGTGGATACCTGCGGCCCCTGGAGGCGCCCACCCCCTCACCTGGCTGCTCTCTCCCTCCACTCCCTGGATCCAAGTTTCAACTCTGAGGTGTCTCCGTGTCCACTCCACCCAGCAGCGCAGTCTCTCAGCGGCCTGGGGCTCAGTCTGACCCAGACCCCCTGGGCCCTGGCTGGCAGCCCTGATCCTCAGGATGCAGGCACCTGCCCTCTGCAGCCCCTTCCCCTGCACCGGTCCCAGCTCACCCCTGCCTCCCGAACCTTCCTCCTGCTGTGCTGACCCTCAGCCTGGCACAGACACCCCATGACTCCTGATCCCCCAAAGTCATGACTCGGTGGCTACTCGAGGTCAGCAGAACCCCCTCCCCAGGGCTCACCTCTCTTGGAGCAGGGCCACCCAGGTGTTGGGGGCCACACGCAGTGTGCACACATTCATGGAGGCACTGGAGCTGCCAGACACCATGGCTCCTCCTGCTAACTTTCCCTGTCCCAGGGCTGCCAGCTCCACGCTGCCCTGCAGCTGCCCGTCCATGGTGTCGTGGAAGTGGAAGGGGCCAACGCGTTCGACAGCTGGAACGAGACCAGAGCGGAAGCCCCATGGCGCCGGCCGCGCCTGTGCCACCAGGCGGAGGGGCTTTGACAGGCCTCGCCCTGTGGAAGCAGAGCGCACAGAGGCACAGAGCAGGCAGCAGGCCGGCTGCATCTGCTCCCCTCCCGGCTGGGGCTCCGCCTCAGAGCCAGGTGGGGTACCTGGTTCCGGGGCATCGGGCTCCAGGATGTCCTTGATGGACAGGTTGACACACGTGTAGCGGGGTCTCCAGAACCATGAGCTGGAGGGCTTCCTGCCCACAAGGCAGTAGGGCTGGTAGCTGGTGGAGGTCCGCAGGCTGTCCACCGGGATGAGCTCTCTGCTGCGGTCCAGCTCCCGGACCACGCTCCTGACCACCCCCTCGAAGGCCGACGCCATGCTCCTGAGGAGGGCACATGGGGGTCAGGCATTGCGCCCTCAGGGATGGAGATGGAGGAATGGTCAGTACTTGGATGCTTCCAGTGATGGGGAGGTCTTTCCCTCCAAAGCAACCCTGCGTGGCCAGTCCCGAGGTGCCCTGATTGGCAGAGAGCTCCCGCCCTGATCGTGACCCAATACAGGAAGAAATAGTGTCCACCCCGCCACCCACTAGTCCATTCCTCCAAGGGGCCGTGAGTGCCTCCAGGCTGGGACGTCATTCATAAAGCTCCGCGGGACTCAGGCTGTTCACGCCATCTGTGCTGGAGATGACGTGAACAGCCCGAGTGCCCACAGAGTGCCCACACAGAGCCCAAGAGAAGCCTGGCACAGACACCCCGTGACTCCTGATACCCCAAAGTCATGACTCGGTGGCTACTCGAGGTCAGTGATGAGGGCAGGCAGTCCTAGGCCACCCACGGAGGCTTCTACCACTTTGTCGGCCCAAAGAGGCTTAGGGCGGCCACTGAGTGGGGGCAGGGCAAGGCGAGGGCCTTGGGGTGACTCCCAGGCTGATGCTGTAGCAGCTGCCTCCCTGGCCGCAGTGTCCAGGGTGGGGAAAGGAGCAGGAGCTGCCACCTCCTGGGTACTGGGCAGCGGAGCCCACAGCGAGACCCAGCCAGTGTCCCCAGCTCGCAGGGCTCTGTGTGCCAGGAGTTTCAGGAGCCACTTGTCCAAAGCTGGGGCTTCAGGGACCATATGTCAAAGCTGGCCTGCCCCGGATGCAGGAGACAGGACCCGCCAGTGCCACCCCAGTAGAAGGCCTCTGCGCCTCAGCGCTGGTCTGAAATCAGAGGCCAGGTGCCCACCCAGCAGCCGAGCCCAAACCTCGCCCGGCTGCTGGCGAGGGGACCGCCTTCCCAGAGGCCCAGGGCTTTCCCAGGGCGGGTCTGAGATTATGGGGAGTCCTGGGAGGGTCCTGGGACCAGGTCAATACCCAGAGAGTCAGCACCCCCACACACACCCAGCGGGAACGGGGCAACGGGCGCCCCTGGCGTGCGGGGCGCGGCTCACCGTGACAGTGGCGCCCAGGCTCCAGGCCCACGAAGTGAGGCGAGGCCACCTTGGGCCGGGTTCGCGCTGGCTGTGCCCGGGAGCAACGGAGGGAGCACACAGTCTGCTGGTGCCCAGACCCAAAAGTGAAACCGACGGACGCAGCACGCAACCGCCCAACACTCCCGGAAACGCCCCCGCGAGCGCCCCCGCCTCCGCCCGCCCACTGCCCGCCTTCTCCGCTGTTCCTGTCTCAAGCCCCGCGCGCCGCCGCGGAGGGCTGAGCGGGCTCTTCTCCAAAGGAAATGTACCAACGGCCGACAGGCACATGGAAAGGTGCAACTCAAACACGGCCGCTTCACACCCGCCTGGATGACCAGGGGAGAGAGCCGCCAGCTGGCGGCGTGGGGAGGCGGGGAGACCCACTCTGGGGCGCGGTGAACCGGCGGCCGCTGTGGACCGCAGCGTTACCACGCGCCTCATCCAGTCCGCCCCTGGGTGTGTGCTCAAGAGACGTGAAAACACGTCCGCGCAGAGCCTGCACATGGACGTTCGTGCAGCAGTGTCCCTAACAGCCGAATGTGGAAACAGCCCAGTGGGCCACAAACCAATGCGCAGATTAACGGGGGTGGGGGTGGGGGGCCAATCCGCAGGTGACCAGTAGAGGAATGAAATTCTGAACCGCATGCGGTGCCGGTGAACCTGAAAACACCATCCCAGTTGGAGAGACTCAACTCCAAAGAGGGGTCACAAGATTCACATGCAGATGTTCAAAAGGGGCAAATTCATAGGAACAGGAAGTAAAGGGGCAGATGCCAGGAACTGGGGGCGGGGGGAGTGACAGCTGATGGGAACACAGTTTCTTTGGGGGTGATGAAATGTTCTAACATCAGTTGTTAGATGCACAAATGTTAAAGCCCACGGAGTTTTACACTTTAAATGGGTGAATTGTATGGAATGTGAGTTGTATCTCAAAGTTATTTAGAAAACCTAGAGCCAAGTGACAATATCCAGGCCCGTCACAGGATCCTTGATGCTCTTACTGTCCTGGGTCACGTGCCACCAATGTCTGGTGCATGGCAGTGGGGGATCCTCCTCCACGTGCCACTGCCTGGCCCTTAACCCATGACACGCGAGCCCACAGCAGGGCTGGCTGGCCTGAGACACCCCGAAAGCTCTGCCTTACTCAGTCTTTCAGCCTCCGAGCCAGGTGCTCTTCCCATGAGGCCTTTGCCAGGCCTGATGCCAGCTCTGGGAAGGTGATTTCCTGTGCTGTGTGCTGGCACGTTGTAGCTGCTTTAACTGGAAAGAACAATTCGAGCAGGAAACATCTTGTGCAAGCAGAAGTCCCCAACTGCTGGGTACCCTGGGCCAGACACAGGCAGGCACAGGCCATCCAGGGGTCTGGCCTCCTCCAGCGTCTGCCTGGGGTCTCTGCAGCTGGTTCGCTCTTCATGCTGGGGACCTAGGGGACAGGCCTGAGAGAGGTGCTGGCTGAGGGGCTCTGAGGTAGTGGGCGCCCAGCCAGCTCAGCGAGGGGCTCCCAGCCTTGGTCCAGCCCCTGGAACTGTTGACTGGAGTGACAGGCATCCTTGCTGAGTGTGTGTTCACGTGTCCGCATGTGTGTATATATGTGCATGTTGTTTGCACACATGTATGTTCACAAGTATGCATATTCATGCTTACGTTCTGTGTGGTGTGTTGTGCACACCATGTGTGCATGCTCGTACTGTGCATGTTTGCGTTCGCATGTGCATGTCTGGATGCGCTGTGTGGCTGACGCTGCTGGGCTGGCCGTCCTCCAGCTCAGCCGGCTTCTCCCCGTCCCCAGGCAAAGCTCCGTGCTGCCTGCAGTCCCGTTGCTTCTCATCTCTCTCTCTAGCAGGCAGGCTCCAGGCCAACGTCAGGAGGTGGCGGCCTCATCAGCAGGGTGACCTCACTGTGGGTTTCCAGCAGGGATGTGACCAGCCCTGGTTTACTTTTCTAGAAGGTCTTGGCTGCCATTTGAGAGAATGTGGGGGAAGCGGCCGTGCAGCCCTGGGAACTCGGTCTGAGGCAGAGGTGCCAGGCAGGTGCCAGGCAGATAAAGACGGTATGGACACTGCACCCTCCTACCTCGAGGCAGTGATCTGGAGCCATCACAGCCTGTGGCCGGGTAGGATGGACGAGTCACGGCTGGTGCGATTTCTTTACATTTTCAGTTATTTAGCAACAACCAAAACAAGAAACACTGGGCTAGGAGAACAGTGGTGTCGCCTGGGCCCCGGACTCGCGTAGGACAGAGGTCAGCCTGAGAGAGCAGGAAGTGTGCATTCTGGGGAGAAAAAGCAGAAGGAGGGTGGGTGGGGCCCGGCACTCCATCCGCATCCCCTCTCTGGCACCCAGGAAGCTGGGGGGCGGGGACACACAAGAACATCTTGACAGTCAGAAACTCCGGGTGGCATGACACCCTCCTCACGGATACCCTGTTAGATGGAGCTGGGTGAGGTTGCCTTGGGCGAGGTCTGGGCAGGTCCTGGGGGTCCACAGTTGGGGTGGACACCCTGTCCCCAATGGTGAGCTGTGACCAACGACTGGGAGCCTAGAAAGGGGCTTCCCGCTGTGCAGGAGTCGGCACAGCTAAGAAAGAAGCAGCTCACGGCCACCAGGCCCCTCCCCCCCACCTGCGTAAGGGGCTGGAGCCTGGCCAAGCACACTGGGAACGCGGCAGCGGCAGACAGTGACCCTGGGAGGGACAGAGCAGGTCATTAAGATTCCTGGGATGACCGGGAGAGCACGCTCCCGGAGCGCTGGGCGTTGCCGTGGAGGGGATGGGAGGGTGGGTTCAGGGAGAGGGGCGAGGCGGCTGCGGCCCAGCCGGGAAAGGACCGCAGGGGCCAGGACGGCTGAGACGGGGTGGGGACAGCCTGCACGAGGAGCCCATCCGCGCTTCACACGAGGCCAGGCGGGCCCCACCAGAGACCCAGACTCGGAGGCGAGCGGAGCGCGGGCTGCCGGTGCCCCCACCACCCGGTGCCGCAGGATGCGGGGCCCGCGCGAGGGCGGGGCTGTGGGCTCCAGGCACCGCTGGGTCCGCAGTGCGGGCTGCCGCAGCCTCCCGCGATCTAGAGCGGGCCTCCTTGTGACACTCCGCGTTTCCTCGGGTGCCGGGAAGTCGGAGCCCACGCCCTCGGCAGCCCCGCCTGCATTCACTCCGCGTCCCCCTCCCCCCACCGCCGCCGGTGCCCACGTCTCTGTTCCGCAGGCCGGACAACCTGGAACCCGTGCCTGGCATACAGCTCGGTAGAGCGCCCCCGGAGCGAGAGCACCAGCCCGGCTGCGGCGGTGGGGCCAGGAGTGAGCTGTGCGCAGACCGAGTCTCAGATGTCTTTCCTTTTTGGAGGTTGAGTCCCTGCGGGGCGTCCCTCTCGCTCGCCGTCCCCACCCCGCACCTAGTGCCTTTCCGCCTACGGCTCTGATGGCCCTGTCCACTGGGAGCTCAATAAAGGTTCAGGGGATCCCTGGGAGAGCACCTGGCCTGGGAGGCCCCAGGGTGGGAACCGGGCCGGGTGGCGGGGTAGACAGTTTCTGGTTCTGAAGTGCCCCAGGAATCAGGAGGGATGTAGGCGGCAAAGGCCCTGCACAGCTGAGGGCCCTGGGCAAATTATCCCTGCAGATCTGGGTACCCCGGGCGGCTCACAGGAGGGAGCAGGCACAGGTGGTCAGAAGTCCTCATTGCCCAGGTCCTATGTCCAGGCTCTCTTCCCCATCCCAGCACATCCCTACACCTCCTCCTTCCTCTGGGGTCCCCTGCCCTGAGGTCTACTGAGGCCTTCCTGGCTCCTGGAGCTTTCTGCTGGCTGGGCAAGGTGGGGTGGCGGCGCCGGCATGGAACACAGCCCTATCCTGACTGGGCCTCCGCAGGGGGAAGCAGACACCTTGGTCCTGCTTCAGGTGTTCTGAGCCTCACTGGGCTTTGCCCCAGCTGGAAGAAGCCCTGCTGCTGAAATCCAGGCATGGGCAGTGGGGGCGGGGGAGGCATCTTTCCCGAAGGTGGGAACATCGCCCCAGGTTTGCCCAGTACTAGGGCATGTGAGAGAGTGTCATGAAATTCACACTATCCATCAGTCGTGGGCCCTGAGAGTCGTGGAGGTGATGTGATGGGGGGACAGTAGACTAATATTTTCTTCCAGAAGGATCTGGCTCAGAGTCTGAGGGTCAGTTTTGCAGTGAGGGCCCTTGCAAGCTGTGAAGCTGGGGTGAAGGGGGATCCGCTGGGGTCTCAAGGGCAGTTCTCGTTCACAGTCATTTCCTGCTCCCCTCTCTGTAGGATAAAAGAGGAGCATCCGTGGGGGAGTGGTCCCAGCGTGCCAACCACCTGTTCTCACCTGAGGACCTGGTGAGTTAGGTCAGCTGATTCCCACCCACAGGCAGACCTCCCAGAGGACAGGAGCGGGGATTCCTCAGGGAGGTGCAGGCGGAGGCTTAGAGTCGGGGGCAGATAAACCCAAGGCGGGTGTGACGTTTTGTGCTTGTCCCGATGCAAGTGTGATACAAGTGTGTTTGGTATGGCCACGCTGCTTTCCTTTTATTGACCTCCCACCCACTTCAGAGGGGCTGGTACCCCCGAAGTAGCCTTATGTGATGGGGCTGGACAGAAGCGGGGTGTGGCAAGGTTCAGGGCACACCTGGGCCGGGTGGTCAGGGGGAACGGCTTGAGGCTCAGGAAGAAGGCTGCTTAAGCCACAGTGCGGAGAACCCCACATAAGAAAAGAGCTGGGTTGGCAGAAGGTGGGGAGCGCGAGGGGTGGGAGTGGGAGAAAACTGCCCGGTGAGGGGAGACACGGTCCACCGCCAAGGACTCCCAACACCTGGGATGTCTGGCCCTCAGGCATCGTTTGTTTGCTGAATGTAATTCCACGCGCGGACTGGGGGAGGAGCTGCACTGCGGCCGAGGTGGAACCCAGGTCTCGGTCCTTCGCGCAGTCCCTCCGGGAACGGGGACCAGTGGCGGAGAGGTGGGTCGGAAGCTCGCCAACCGGGAGGCAGCCGGGCCGTCTCCTCCCGGCGCGCAGTGAGGCCACTTCCGGCGCTCAGTAGTGACGTCGCCCCGGCCCCTTGCTCTGCGCGTGCGTGGCCCCGCAGGCGTTGTCAGGGCGACGGCGCGCCCTCTTGGCCTGGCGGGCGCCCGGGCCCGGCCGCATGCGCAGTCTCAGCCTCCCGCGCCCCGCCCGCTGGGAAACGGTCGCGGAGCGATGACGTCGCGGGGGCCTGGCCGGGCGTCGCGGACTCTGGAGATGGAGGAAAAGGAGCTACTACGGCGGCAGATCCGCCTCCTGCAGGGTGGGTCGGGCCGGGCTGGGGTCGCGCCTTCTTCTTTCCCCTCACTACACGGCGAGCCCTCGCCTGCCTCCCGAAGGGGGTCGCTCTCCGCCCGCGGTCTCGACGGCCAGGTGTGGTGGGTGGAGGTAGGGTCAGGCAGAGGGTGGGGGGCCGGAGGGGCTTCCAGGCCGGCCGGGTCAGCACCCTGCCTGGGATTCGTCCGACGGACAGTGCGGGCCTTTCCGGCGCTGCGGCGCGGGACGGCTGGGCGGTCGCTTAGTAACCGGCGGGAGGCGGCCCCCACCCCCTCGGGCGGGCGCGTCCTCGGCGTCCCCCGGACCCCGACAGTGGGGCGGAAGGCTCTGGTGCGGCGCGGCAAAGCTCGTACCGGCGAGGGGAGCGTGTTCCTTCCTTGGGCGCCCCGTTTTGACCTTTTTTCCCTCTGTACTGTCACACTCCCCTTGATAGTCCAGGCCCAGGCCTCCCTTTCTGAACTTTAAAATTTTTATATCTAAGTCGACCTTCCTATACTTAAAAAGTTTCCCCTTTAAAGTTATTCCCAGAAAGGGAAGACTTAAGAATTTGGGAAGTGGGTATAGGGGAGAGTCTAGGTGTTCTGGCTCTGCTTTTGGGCCACTCCTTGGGCTTCCATCATACCTACTCTGAGGTGTCACCAGGTCTGGACGTGGCTCTCTCCCGGTCTGGGGGCCGGATCTGTGTTGCAGGAGTGTTGTACCTGGGGGAGGAGTGGGCGGCTGGCTACTAGATTGCGAGTTGAGTTGTAAGGCTGCGGAGCCCTGGGTGGTGAGAGCCCAGGCTCGGGGCTTCTTTGGAAAGGCCCTGTGCCGGTGGTGACAGCCCACTACACTGGGGCTCTGGGTGACCAGGCCTCTCCTCTCCTGTGGGGAGGAGGGAGTGCCATTCTTGTCAAGTGTCGGGTGCCCAGGGGTGTCACTTGTGTTACACCGTTCTGTGTGCCAGACAGGGAGATCTCTAAGGTGCAGTGTTGCCCCCGTCCATCGTGGGCAAGCCAGAGGGCCTCCGCCGCTGGCTGGTCCCTTCTTCTAGAGGCATTACAGCATGGGGTTTTTCTGACCTTTCCACATTCAGTGACACTTCCCCTCAGAGGATTGTGGACTTGGGAATAATATTCCCAACAAATAGGGAGTATCACGGCACGGGAATGCCTTGTCAGGAAAAGCAGTCAGAACTAGAGCTGCAGGAAAAGGGGGAAAAGGCCGACGGAAAAGGCAGGCTGGGTCGGGGCTCAGCTGTCACTGGTTCTCAGGCACCAGGGGCTGCCCCTCCTGCCGTGAGACTGCGCCAGGCTCAGGAGCGAGGTGGCATCCGTGCGCTGCTGTCCGCTGATGTCCCTCCGGGACGTCATGGCCATTTCACTCACCCTCTGCTTAAGCCTGTGATTCTGTCCCCTCAGGTTTGATCGATGACTACAAAAACCTCCACGGCAATGCCCCTGCCCCGGGCCCCTCAGCGCCGTCCCGGTGGCAGCCACCAGCCTACAACAGCAGCAGGGCCTTCAGTGCTCGCTACCCCCGTCCATGCCGGAGGGGCTTCTCCCAGAGCCACGGGCCTGCGTGGCGCAAGAAATACTCCCTTGTGAATCGGCCCCCGGGATCCTTGGACCCACCTGGCGACTGTGCTGCGCAGCCCACCCTTGAGGCTGGGAGCAGCCGGGACCCCAACCCCCAGCAGTATGGCTTGGAGAGGCAAGTTCAGCTAAGTGTAGATCAGAGCATGGTCATCAAGATCAAACCACCGTCAGAGCCAGGCTCGGCCAGCACTGCGGGGGGCCCACGGGGCTCCTGGGAAGACCGCCAGGGCCCTCCCTGGGGCACCCACAGGCCTCAGGCAGGTGAGGGTGAGCCCCCTGGTGGGCAGCGGCAGCCCTCGAGGCCAGGAAGAGCCAAGGGGACCTGCGGCACAGAGGACCCCCTTCTCGTCTGCCAGAAGGAGCCTGGCAAGCCCCGGGTGGTGAAGTCTGTGAGCAGTGTGGGTGACAGCCCCTCGGGGCCGCGGCGGACCGTCAGTGAGAGTGCAGTTTCGGTCCAGGCGCGCTTCCTGTCCTCCACCCTGCCGCAGCGCCCCGGAGCGGCCCTGGCTAGGAAGGTGGGCGCCCACTCCGCGGCCAGCTGTGCCGCACAGCTCCTTGCAGACGGGCGAGTGGACGCCGGCCACCCAGATCAGCCAGCTCCCTCCTGCTCTGTGGCAGGCCCAGCTAGACCAGCTTCCGGACCTAGGCAGGCCCGGGAGAGCTCCCTGCTTGTGTCCTGTCGGATTAACAAGTTCCGGAAAAACAATTACAAGTGGGTGGCTGCCTCGGCGAAGAGCCCCCGGGCGCCTCGAAGGGCCCTCAGTCCCAGAGCGGCCTCGGGGAATGTGTGCACGGCCCCCTTTGGTGCAGCAGAACGAGCGGAGAAGCTGCAGACCAGGGCTGACCAGGACGCCAAGCCCAGGAAGTCAGCCATGTCTTCCACATCTGGGGCCTCCTCCAGCAAGTACAAGTGGAAGGCCTCCAGCCCCTCGGCCTCCTCGTCATCCTCCTTCCGTTGGCAGTCGGAGGCCGGCAGCAAGGACCGTGCCTCCCAGCTCTCTCCAGTCCCATCCAGGTCCCCGCCGGGGGACAAGCCGGCAGTGGGACCCAGCAGCTTGAAGCCCTTCTCCAGTGAGAACCCGCTGTCGGCTTACAGAGTGAGAAGCCGCAACGAGATCGTCCGGCGGCGCGGGAGTACTGGGTGAGGCCCAGCCACCCCCAGGGTCTTGTGCAGGCAGGCAGGCCCGGCCGGGCCTGGTGAGCTCCCTGCTCGGCAGGCGGAGCCCATGGGAGGGCCTGCCCGCAGGGGTGTGGGGAGAGGAAATGGAGCATCACCTGGCACCGCCTGGTCGCTGCCTGGTTGGGCCTGGGCAAGCACGAAGCTTTGTGTGTGGGATGGGGCTGAAGTTACCACTGAGTAAGGGAGGCTCAGCATGGCCAGGGGCTTGCCTGGGGCCCCCAGCCAGGCAGGGACAGGTGGAGGCAGGCGCTAGCAAGGCCGCCCTTCCTCCTGCTGGGGCGTCTTCCCTTCTGGGCCACGGTTTGTGGACGGGCGACATTGTGCCCAGGCCAACCACTGGCTGAGCAAACCCAGGATGCGGGGTGTCTGCAGGAGGGGCTGTCCCTCCTCCAGGGGGGAAGGCTGCCTTGTGCTGGTGACTGCATGCCCCTCTCCTGGCCTCCACCCTAGTGGGTCATGAGGAGGCAGAAAGGTGGCACTTGGCTGGGGTCAGAGACTTAGTCATGGCACTGCCTCTGGTAAGGCCAGAGGGCTTGCTTCTGCCATCCAGCATGGCCGCCTGTTCCATTGTCAGTGGGAGTTGGCCCCGCAGGGCTTTCCCGCTGTCCGACCTTGGTCTTTGGCCCTGCTCTCCCAAGACAGGTGTTGTCTTGGGTGCCCCAGGCATCCTTCACCCTCTCACTTCTGGCTGGGGACCTCCTGTTTCAAGAACGTGGAGGGGAGCTGTGAGAACAGCCCCCTGTGGCGAGGGCTGGGGATGCTGGTGGCAGCTCCCCTTCTGGGCATCACCTGTCTCCTTTGCCCCTACCCCAGCTCTAGTCGGGTGCTCACCTCGTCTGGGGAGACAGAGACTGACGGGCAGGGGTCAGAGGCTGGGCCACTCTCCTTTGCTGACTGCCTGCCCTGGGACCTTCCCCGCTGTAGCTGGGGCTTGGGGGACGGGAGGGGATCCCTACTCCCATGGCTGGGAAATTGGGGTGAGCAGGGTGGGAACCTGTGGGTTCTCCTGCCTCCTGGGCAGACTCCTTGGCACTGAGATCTGGGGGGGGCGAGAGGGGAGGGGTCTGCCCACAACGTGGGGCCTGTTGTGAGCTGTCTGCTCTTTGTCTCCACAGTCTTCCTGGGGACAAGAAGGGCAGCCCCCCACCTGCTGCCACTGCTAAGAGCCAGTTCAGCCTGCGGAGGAGGCAGGTCTTCCGGGGGAAGAGCAGCCCTGGTCTGAAGAAGACGCCCCCCAAGAGCCTGATGCAAGCCCCCAGGCACCGGCCTTGCTGCCTGCCTCCAGGCCGGGCCCACCTCCCCAAGGAAGGTAGGAGGATGGGACAGGGCTTCTGGGGAGGGGGGCTCTGAGGAGCCCTGAGCTGGGCCCACCTCAGCCCTCAGGGCCCTGGCCTGCCAGCACACGGCCTGGCGGGCAGCGGATGGACTGTCAAGGGCAGGGAGATGCTGCTGTGCAGGCATGCGATGGCCTTTCCAGAACATCGCTCTTGGTCGTAGAAGGACAGGGAAGGAGGGTGAGCGGGTTCCTGTTTTAGGGGGAGGCCCAGGGCTCCCCCAGCCTTCCTGTGTGTCCTCTGTCCTCGGAAGCCTGGGGCGGCACCACTCCCTCCTGCTACTGGCCGCTGCCTGGGAGCTGCCTGGGATGTTGGCTTTGTGTGCTAGTGATCAGTGGCGTCAGGAGGTCACGGGGTGTGGCTCTCTTGAGGAGGACCCCCCCTCTGTAAGGGGATGGCAGCACATTGGGGGAGCTGCTGCCAGGCTAGCATTGCTGGGGATCCGTGCTGGGGGATATGGGGCTGTGGCGAGTGGGGAAGGGGAGGCGGTCACCGTGACGCTGTCCTGGAGAGCAGGGATTCATCTGGGCCTGAGGTATCCCCTTTCCCTTCCCTTGAGCAGCTGGGGGAACTGTGGTGGCTTCCTAGGTGACGCATGTGAAATCTGGTGGTGGCTTGGCCCTGTGTAGTGGGACTTGGGACTTGTGCTCTCACGACTGCTGTGTCTGGCATTCGGGGACCCAGCTGAGGACGTGCCGGAGGCTCCTGGAGGAGCGGGTGCCCGCAGGGCTGAGAGCCTGCGTGGGAGCTGGCCGTGAGGGGGAAGGGCACAGGTACAGGGGACGTGAGGAAGCGAGGCTGCATGTCAGCTGCCATGTGCTGTGTGCCTTGGCGCATGTGGACTCCACCCCAGGGTGCCGGAGCAGAGGGACCCGGGTGGGTGGTGGTCGCTGGCTGTGGAAGCCCAGCCCCAGGTCCCCACGTCAGCCAGCCGGGCCCGGTGGTCAGCAGAGGGCGCACTTGCCCCTCTTATCCCTCAGTGCATCTTTTTCTGGTAATTGATTGCCTAATTTCCTCTTTATGTGAAAGAAAGCAGATATCAAGTAATTTGCAGCAATAACCTGCTAATGCCGGGCCAGTATCGAAACTCCCCTGTTCATTTCAAGTGGCAGATAAAACACTAATACATAATTATCCTTGCAAATTGGATTGTTTTAAATAACCAAAAGGCTGCGGCCAGGGGAAGGCGATCCCATCTCCCCTGAGTTACTGTTGCAGTGTAATTGCCGCGTTCAATCAATTTCCCTGGCATTAGAAATTCCATCACAATCAACATTAAGCTTTATTCATTGTGATGGCTAAGAGCCGGGCCATTTCTCCTCTTTTTCTTAACTGGCAAAATTAATCAGGGAAAAGATTTTAAACATTTACCCGTGCGAAAGAGGTCAGCTCTGCCACTATGTTGCTCAGCAGATAAGGGGGCCAATAAAAAGAAAATTGAATTACTGATGATCAGCAAGAACAGAGTATATAAAACCTGGCAGTCGCCGGTTCAGGAAGAGGGAGAATCAATTTTCCTGGGACAAGGTGCGCTCATTTTTTATTTTGGCGCATATTATCAGCAATTTAATTTGAGAGCGCATAAACAGGAGGAAACAGTTAGGGAATAATGAGCCCGGAGGTGTAGCGTGCCGCGGGATATATGCTGTACACAATTTATTTGGCACAACAGATAATCGCTTTAATTGAATTCAGAACTGCATTGTTCAGC